AAATTTGGGCCAAATCAGTACCTACACAGGCCACGGTGGCGGAAGGATATACAGCCAAACGTTAAAAAATTGAAGTTGCTGGTAAAAACATACAACAAAAATCAATACACATTGAACAAAAAGAAAATCTAAAAACAGATACTAATTAGCATATTATGCAAATTAACAAAGGTAAATATTTCCAATGCAGTAACAGTTGGTCAACAAGAGTTTAATAATGAAAATGTGCCTTTACATCTTTCTGAAACATACACCAATTTTAATTAAACGTTTAATTATATATGTTTGTCCAGGGCACGAACGTTTTTATAGTATAGTCCCAGTCAATCACGATACCTAATTTTGCCAAATTAAAACCTTGTTAAACAGCTTTTGTTTAGAACTATTTATAAAAATTTGACATTGGTAATATAATAGAACAATATTATTTTGTAAATAAAAACACGGCAACTGTCCTATCCGTTAAGCGTGGAATGGCCCATATATTTTTTAAAAAATTTAAGGATATTTTTAAATATTTTATTGTTTGGTGTAAAAATCAAGTTAAAAATCTAAAACCTGACTAAAAGAATAAAAACCTTTAATTTTTTAATAAAATATAAATAATTATACGTTATAAGCCTTACTTAACATAGATAAAAAAATTAAAAATAATTTACAAATTTGTAATAAAAAAGTTATAGAAATATTTCTGCACCGGTTTGCGGCCACGATGTACCACGGCTTTTCAGCTATAATTCTGTGTATTAAAACCATGGGCTATTATTTTATTATTTATTTAAACAAAAAACAAGTAAGCAAGGTTGTGAATATAGGGAGAAGCGTCGAAGTTTTAATTTGTTAATGAAAAGGTGCATTTTACTTAGATGCATTTTACTCAGATGCAGTTGCATTCCATTTAGAAGGTGAAAAAATACTAAAAATTAAAATGTAAAAATAACATACATACGAAATAATATAAAGTTGCATGCTGACTTGTGCATTTTTCTCCGAAACGGCTGGTCGGCAAAACTGATTTGTTAAAGGAATTTTTTTTAAGTAAATATTTTTATCTATTTTGCGTTCATAATGACTTCATTGTAACACCGCTTTCGGAGCTGTAAAATTTTGATTTTATAGGTTGGCTACTCTAAACAGCATACTAGTAAAATATTATTTTGCATATTGGTTATAATATTTTTATGATTTTTCTAGTACTTACGAGACTTTTCTGGCAAAAAATTTTGTTTGACACCAAAGAAAATCCTTTTTTCTTCTTTAACATTAACAGCAGCTTATTGTAAATAAGTAAATTAAGGACGCCATGGCGAATCAATTTTGACATTAACCCTTCAAACAAATGACTGTGATACCAACTATCTAAAGTAAAATTCGACCAAATTAAATATATGTAGGTATAGTATAAAATTAATTTTTCTTTATACCTTGTTCGAAAGTACGTAGGTACTTTCGTCCCTAATAGCAGGGACTAAAGTTTAACATTTACACCCTGTGCTATTAGGGACGAAAGAACGTACTTTCGACCGAGGTAAACTTTCGTCCCTGCTATTAGGGACGAAAGTAAGTACTTTCGACCGATGTATGAAGAAAAATAAAAAATTCAACTTTCGGCCCTTGTAGTGTAATAGTAATAGTAATTTTTTATAGTCATGTCATAAGACCTTTTGTCGACAAAATGACGACTTATGACATTAGTTCATTAATATTCTATTGTTTATGGTGGACATTGTACAAGCTCCTCAAATAATGCAAATGTTTCTCACAAAATGTTTGTTCTGTTCAGTCAGTACCCACCTTAATGTAACTTTTCTAATATTTTACCGCTTGTGTTCAGAATGATTTTGTTTGGACACCCTTTAGAACACTGTACACCCACAGATTACTTTGTAATAAAGTTAAAATAGTATATTGTAAAACGAGTGTTACAATGAACCTTATTGTAATATGTTAGGTTAAGTGGAAGAAAAACAGCCCTTTGGCAATGTGTTGAACTTCGCCTTTTGTTAAACAAATTAAACAATAAAGCTATTTATTATTATTATTATTATTATTATTATTAATACTGAGTTATTTTCCGCACGACCGCGAGTGCGGCCCTAGTAATACTCGTAGTATTACAATAAATCATTGTAACAGGAGTTTTTCATACTACTTTGTCTATTTTGACAATAATTTATTAAAAAAATTAAATTAATCCCAAAACAACAAGTAGTTTATTTATTGTTACTAGGTTGACACAATTGACGTGAAGTCAAGTAATGTCAGTAAAAATTAAAACGTCAAATTTTGTTTTTTTTTTCTATTTCAAAGCTGCTTAGAGGTAGTGTAAGACATAGTTTACATTCACATTTTATACTATAATTTTGATTAACAAACGCAGAACGGGGTTTCAGACTATTCTTTTTCTACATTTTCAAAAAATACCATAGAAAAATAATTTAATTTGGAGAAAGTGAGGTTGGATTGGCTTAAAAGTAGTATACTCCTACTCCTATCATCGAATGACGGAATAAACACTGGAGGCGCCATCTCCGTATCTGTGTTTATTATCTAACAACTTTTAGACCGATCCAACCTACTTTTTTGGAAACGTAGAAATACAGTCTAAAACACATTTGGAATTGCATATTCCGCTCTCGTAGAACCGTCAAACTCGGCTTCACTCCTGCGGAATATGCCGTATTCCAAACTTGTTACTGAATATACTATTCTATACTATTGTTGTCAGAAGTCAAAACTTACAATTACAATTAAAAAAGATGACTTAAGCCACAAAAATATGGCAACATTGCTCGGGAGGCGCTTGTTCCGCATATTCCTATGAGTTTTACGGGTGTCAAGTTGCCCCCCCCCAATCGTGCAAACCTCCTCTATTATACATCATAATTTTGCACACATTTTGCACAATTTTGCACACCCCTTCTTAAATTTTGCACACACCTGCTTTGGAAATGGCAAGAAAAATCATGTGGGGGCAAACTTGACGCTTGCCCCCCCCTTTGCTCCGATAAACTCTACTTTTCGTCATCATAATCTCCTAAATTTGCACAATTTTGCACACCTCATTTCAAATTTTGCACACTCCTCCATCCACCCCCACGGCATCCCAAAAATTTACTTACTAGCCCCCCCACTGACAAAATCCGCTTTGTTTTTATGCTATCCTGATCCTCTAATTTTGCACAATTTTGCACACCTCATTTAAAATTTTGCACAGCCCCCCATCCACCCCCACGGCATCCCAAAAATATACTTACCAGCCCCCCCCCACTGACAAAATCCACTTTGTTTTTATGCTATTCTGATCCTCTAATTTTGCACAATTTTGCACACCTCATTTCAAATTTTGCACACCCCTTCATCCACCCCCGCGGCATCCCAAAAATTTACTTACCAGCCCCCCCCACTGACAAAATCCACTTTGTTTTTATGCTAACCTGATCCTCTAATTTTGCACACCCCTTCATCCACCCGCGGCATACCAAAAAAATATGCACTAGCCCTCCCCACCGGCAAAAATCCTCATTGTTTTTGTGCTATCCTGATCCTAAAATTTTGCACACCTCATTTCAAATTTTGCACACCCCAATTTCAAACCTCACAGCGTCCCAAAAAAAATTGTCCCAAGTCATGTCTCGGTAAAGCCAACTTTCTGTATGTAGCGGAGAGCGCTTTCTCTCGGTAGGTAACCGAGGGCGCCATCTTTAGGTTATCATGCGATTGATGTAATATTTGAATTTAACTGTGTTTAACGGACTTTAACATAACCTGTTAAAATATTTTTGATAAAAGTATGGTTTTTCTTCTTTGTAAAGTGATTTAAAACAAGAGGTAAGCACTGTTTAAATACTGAGTTATACTTCATAGGTTATTATGTTGCAAGTTGTAACTTGTAACCATTATATTGTGGAAATTATTATGTTGTATTGTTTATATGTGTGTATAGATGCTGGTGTTGCCGTTTCTAATTCGTATTATCTAAACTGCCTAACGTTGCGAGCATTGATAAAACATTTTCTTAACCCTACACCGCGCAATCAGTAGCGTAGGGCGACGGGGGCGAACTTAAAACCAACATTTTTTAAATTTGATACAAAATTGTTAACTAATTAGGGCTCCAAATACGGTCTGTGCAGAAGGGAGCTACTGCGCGCAATGTATTATTAAATAAAATTCAATACTTTTCTAAAGCAAAGTATTTACCGAGGGGTCAACCACCCAAAGGGAAAACCTCCAGGGATTCCCATGTATTCCCATTATATTTTATTGTATTCCTATGTATTTCCATTGTATTCCTATGGTATTCCCCCTCTAAAATGTCCAGGGATTCGCAGGTGTGGGTGACCCCTCGGTATTTACATTTAACTGAATTTTTGTCTAATTGCCCTTTGTATCGCATTTGATACAACCTTATTTTAACGTCCTATAAGGTCTATATTGGCGCTGATATAATATATTATGCTCTATGCATTTGAATAATTCGCGTGTTAACAAGTGACAGCGCAATAGTTGCGGTGTAGTGGGTTAAGCCTGATTTATAGATTTCCTTCCTTCCTTTCTTCCTCCCGTAAAAGATGAACAACACGAAAATCGTAGTGCCTTTTATAGATTCCCGTACGAGAATCTTTAAACAGAACAACGGCTTTTGTTTTGCTTATATTTTACGGGGGGAAGGGAGGAAGGAAGGAAGGCAATCTTTAAATCAGGCATTATATTAGTTATTTTCTTTTTATGTTTCCGCCAATTTTATTATTAAGTTGTAGCTAATTATATTTTTATGGTTGCCTACCCAAAGAATATATAAAGTAATTAAACATGTATCAATTTAGATACAATTTTTTTTTGTAAAAAAAAAATAAAGAAATATTTATTTATATTTTTTTTACTATTTTCCCAAAATTATTCACATTATTGTATACCTAAAAATACATTTTTTTACAATATAGAAAATCGCGCGGTCTAGGGTTAGGGTTATTTAAGTTGCCTCTTGTTTCAGAACGATGGGTAGGCCAAAGAATGAAACGAAATGGGAACAAATTGAAAAAGCTCTTTTGTTACATAAAGATAGCATTATAAGGGATTGTACAATAGTTCCCAGAACTGATGAAATATGGGCTGTAATATCGAATCAGATAGCCAACGCCGCTTCAGCTTATTCATTGTGGACCAGCGTGAAAAAAAACTATAACAATATACAGAACACTTTGAAATTACCGCCTATTCAGCTTTCCTGCAATGGTGCAAACGAAACTTTGGAATTCGCTTATAGTTCTGACGAGGATGTGGAGCAGTGTAGTCCGGACCGTGAAAACCACCCGGACTGTGATTATGAGAATTTTGATTTTGACAAAAAACTTTTTTCGGTTAATCTTACGAGTGATGAATTCATGAATTTATTGCCGCATAAGGAAAACTATAAAAGAACGGGTGCCATGAATGAATCAAGGAAATCGAACCAACGACATTACATAGTATTTCAGCAGCGGCATTGGACTCGTCTTTTGTATAATAAATTAGATCCACAGTTACGAGCCCTGCAGATACCTTGTTCAATTATTTTCAAAAGAAACAAATTTTATGCTAGTGGCGTTAAGAATTATGCAACAATGGAGGCAAACTGCAGAGAATGTGGTGCAGATTTCTTGTGCATAATAAAGGATCTTCCTGAGGAAGACCATAATACCAGAATAGATGTGTTTATGAAAAAGGAGTGTTTGATATCGCACAAACATGACATGGTTAGGCCTATAAGTGACGCATTTAGGCAGCAAATTAGTCAAAAATTGGTTGACACAAACATTGCTCCCAGTCAATATCGTAGACTCATGGCTGCCAAAAGTAAAATTGATGGTCCTGTGCCAAAATTGGGTGCCCTAAGGCAAGCCAAATATGAACTTGTGAAAAAACAGCGTTTAGATAATGATCCTATTATGGCAATTTGGAAAATGAAAGTTGAATCGAATTACGCAGGTGCCATTCAAAATATTGGCTTGGATCCGTTTTTCGTTTATTTTTGGGATAATACACAAATTCACGCATACAATAAATTTTGTGAATCTGAATATTCTAAAATCTGTGTAGATGCCACAGGCGGAGTGGTACATAAGATAAAAAAAACCACATAACGAAAAAGGCGCTCATATATTTCTTTATGATATAACTGTTCGAAGCACAAGCGCAAAACATGATTCTCAGTATTCTGTAGCAAGTATGTTGTCGGAAAGTCAAAATGCTGTGTCTATTCATTCCTGGCTAGCTCACTGGATCCGTGCTGGCGCTACAAAACCACAGGAGGTAGTAACTGACATGTCACTTGCCCTGATATATGCCTGCGTTCTTGCCTTTACAGGTTTTAAAACCTTAAATGATTATCTATCTCATTGTTTCCGAGCCATATTCAATAATAGTCCATTTAACGAACAGTGCTATCTACGAATAGACGTTGCCCACTTTGTGAAATTGGCCACCTCCTGGCCAAGCCTTCATAAGCAACACAAGTTAACTAGACAATTTTACCTCAGATCCATTGGACAACTTATTCAATGTTCTAACGTCAAAGATATGGAAAACCTCCTCAAAGCAATTTTTACAGTCTCATTTAGCGATACCGAAGGGCAAAATAAATTTGGCGAGGAAACTCTGTGTGAAGTGCGAAAGGAATGGCTGAAGAGAAGATGCGGCACTGGAACCATTGAAGTAATCGAAAACTACCTCAATATGAAAGATGAAATTTCAGAAAAGGTGCCAATAGTATTAAGTGAAACTACTGAAGAGAATTCGTTTGAGCAATGGGCCAGAAGAATTTCGGACGAATGCAAAGAGGTTGTCAATTCAGATGAACAAATTGGTGACAGAGGAAATCAACAGTGCCTGCCCCGATTTGCAGAAGATTTTCTTAAATATTGCCGGACTTTGCCCTTATGGTCAGGCCTTCAAACTATTTTTTTTTTCAATTCTCCTAAAATTGGAAGCAGCGCTTCTGTTGAAAGTAATTTCAACAACACGAAGCATCGTGTTTTCGGTAATAAAGATCTGCCGATAAGGGTACATGAATTCTTGAAGACACTCATCCTTTCTAACTATGGGCAATCAAAATTGGTAATGAGAAGAATAGACAATGAACAAACACATTCAACCAATAAAGTAAATTTTTCTATTGTTTCACACAAAGATTTGTCAACATTGTTTTCTTTTAGAAGTGCGACCCAGAATGTAATTTTAATTCAAATGCCAAGAGAAACGCCGAAGAGCTTCTTGCATTAGGTACAACAGATCATTTTGAGGGTAGGTTGCTAATTTTTTTTCAATGAATCCAATTAAGGCGGCCGTCTCTTTGATATATAGATATACTAAACAATGTAAATTTAAACAATTTTCACTCAAGTTTTTCTTTTAAATCATCACATTGTGTGAGGTTGTAACGTTATTGCATGTAATAAAAGAATAGGAATTAGGTTGTAATACCTTTTGAACAAGTGATGTAACTAGGAATATTGATTTAAAAAATTTATAAGTTTAACCACATTTTAGCTTTTACACATTTTACCGAGACGGTCCCCCTAATTAAACAGTTGGATATTTAATAGTATATTAACGTTTCTAGGCAAGGTTGAAATATTGTGCCCTTCCTGTCAGTTACATCAGAAGGGGTATGCATTCTGTATTAATTCTGCCGTGCTTAATGAAAACGCCGTAACCAACAATTTTGAGATTTTTGTTTTACGGCATTTTCTACTAGAACAATTCATCCTGCGTCTATCCCCGGTACTCAAAAAACCGTATAGATATAGATACGGTTTTTTGAGTATCGGGGATAGACGCAGGATGAATTGTTCTAGTAGAAAATGCCGTAAAACAAAAATCTCAAAATTGTTGGTTACGGCGTTTTCATTAAGCACGGCAGAATTGTAAGGAAGAAGTACACAAAAATTCATTATGTAGTACGAAAACTGACAGACAAATCTTTTGTGTAAGATGTTCGAAACTTTAACTAATCCCAAACGTCCTAGAACTTTTTATCTGGAACCTCACTCCGAACTTTTAGAAGCGGACTACTCCAGCTTAAGAAATGTTGTTCCTGTTCCTTTGCTGAAAAATGGCCACTTAATCGATTTACACCCCATAAAGATTTTAAAGGACGTATCAGTGACTCTGTCTAACACGTGTGCTTTTGATTCATTACTTCAAGTAATGGTTTGCTGCTTCTGTGATAGTTTTACTTTCAAGGATCTAGTACAAAATATGGTAGCCCATAGTAAAATTGCCGAATTGATAGTGAATAGTGAATAGCCCGCATTTTATATGTCTTTTTAGTGATTCCTTTTTTTACTATGTACATAGTAAAAAAAGGAATCACTAAAAAGACATATAAAATGCGGGCTTTTATACTTCATGGACTATTCTCGAACACTCCCCATCTCTGTGGAATATTTAAATTAAATGTGGAAACAGAAATAGGAAATCTCATACCGCAGCTAGATTTTAATGCATGCGTTGCTGAAGAAACTCTGTGTTCAAATTGTGGATTAATAAATAATATCATCTACAAATCTACTTTGGAAGTTGTTATAGAATTCGCGCAGGAACTTCCACAAAAAATTGCGGATATTATTCAGTCCAGACAATGTAGTAAGTGTTGTGACACATGTCAAGGATTTCAGATTTTGAAAACTAAAATTAGTTTAACACACCTTATAATCGAACCTAATAATAGATCCCAATAAAAAAGTTTTTACTTTGGAAAGTACGTTAGACGATTTACCAAAGAAATTGACAGTGTGCAACGAGACGTACGTATTGCGAGGATTGGTTGGTTATATTGGACCTAACGTAGGAGTTGGTCATTTTACAGCTTACAGTTTGCGACATAATAATCGTTGGGAAAATTATAACGACACCAAAACTAAAAGCGAGTCCTGTTCTGGTAAGCGAATGGTGAATTGCCAAATTTTGTTTTATACGTCCCAATATTAGAAGTTGAATAGGTACTTGTTTTGTTTTCATATTTTATTTTTTCTTTGTATTTTTCTGTATTGTACTAGTATTTTGATAAAAAAAATAAAAACTTGGCCTTTGAATACTTTTCCTTCTTTTAATTATGGTTTCCAAATTTGTGCAAATTTAGATGACAAGGTATACCTAATAGAATTTTGGCAGTGGCAAGGAGAGAGTTGGATAAAATTTTCGGAAACACAGTGAGCGAGGACGTTAATGTGGGGGTTAGGCTAGATTTGAAAAAGGTGTAAAATTTGAAATGAGGTGTGCAAAATTGTACAAAATTGGAGAATCAGGATAGCATAAAAACAAATTGGATTTTGTTATTGGGGGGGATTTTAAGTAAATTTTGCCGTTTTTGCAGTGGGGATGAATGGAGGGGTGTGCAAAATTTAAAATGAGGTGTGCAAAATTGGAGGATTAGGATAGCACAAAAACAATGAGGATTTTTGCCGGTGGGGAGGGCTAGTGCATATTTTTTTGGTATGCCGCGGGTGGATGAAGGGGTGTGCAAAATTAGAGGATCAGGATAGCATAAAAACAAAGTGGATTTTGTCAGTGGGGGGGGCTGGTAAGTAAATTTTTGGGATGCCGTGGGGGTGGATGAAGGGGTGTGCAAAATTTGAAATGAGGTGTGCAAAATTAGAGGATCAGGATAGCATAAAAACAAAGTGGATTTTGTCAGTGGGGGGGGGGCTGGTAAGTAAATTTTTGGGATGCCGTGGGGGTGGATGGACGGGTGTGCAAAATTTGAAATGAGGTGTGCAAAATTGTGCAAAATTAGATGATCAGGATAGCAAAAAAAAAAGTGAATTTCTTCAGTGGGGGGGGCTAGGAAAAATTTTTTGGGACACCGTGAGGAATGAAGTAGGGGTGTGCAAAATTTGAAATGAGGTATGCAAAATTGTGCAAAATTAGGAGATTATGATGGCGAAAAGTAGAGTTTGTCGGAGCAAAGGGGGGGCAAGCGTCAAGTTTGCCCCCCCCACATGATTTTTCTTGCCATTTCCAAAGCAGGTGTGTGCAAAATTTAAGAAGGGGTGTGCAAAATTGTGCAAAATGTGTGCAAAATTATGATGTATAATAGAGGGGGTTTGCACGATTGGGGGGGGGCCAACTTGACTGACCCGAGTTTTACCCCCATGGTTGATATGAAAAAGGGTTGCCAATGCTTCCAGAAAGCTCTTAGTAGCACTGAGAACGCTTTTAAGAGCTCTTAGAAGCATCAAAATAAATAAAATAATTTAAACCGTGCGACTAATTTGATGTATTATAATGATAATTACCCTCTTATATATGCCTAAAAGACAATTATCGCTTGATTACAGCGATAATTTTTTTCTTACATAAAAACGTCGTAGTGAATTACATTTAAGTCACTTTGATAACGGATAAAAAGGAAGGTAACTTTTTGCAAGTGGATAATTATTTATTTACCTCGTGTCATTTTATTTCCTTGACAACCTTGCAAATAATTATTTTTTAATACCAGTTGTCAAAAATCTTTTAAAATGAATCGTTTTGGTAACGTGTCCGACAAAAAAATTAAAGAACAAATTGTAAATAGTATCCCAAATAACACTTTAAAGAATAAAGCGTCAATTTGGCGACAATTTATGGCATTTTGTAATGCGAGGAATTACAAAGTACTCGACTCAACATCACAGCAAGACTTAGCAAATATTTTGCTTGATTGGGCATACAATATGAAAAAAATTAAGGGAGATAAGGAATACGTTATCAAAACTAAGCAGCAGCATGCATGTTGTATTACACTGGTTTACAGCAAAAAAATAGAAACTTTCTCTTACATTTTTTTAAGGTAATTCGGGTGCGCTTAACACGAAAAGCATATTCTTTTTTTTTTCATTTTGGCCATTCACCTAGGTAACGGTATATTTGTGTTTTTCTATTTATGATTTTACTTGAATCAGCATCTCGAGTAAACGGCAGGCCCGATCGAGATAATTAATATATTGTTAAAAAGGTGATTTCAATGCGGGTCCAACGGTACCCAATTTTTTTTCGATCGGATGAAAAATGGCTGAGTTGCAGTTGATAAAAGTTTAAATTTCATACAATTTTTGACGATTTTTAGCCATTTTTGTCAATTGAGTAATTTTTTACAACAAATAACTCCAATATTTTAAGTTTAACATTTATAATCAAAAGTTTATTTAATTACAAAAAAATTAAGCTCTAACAGATTAAGAACGCATAAAAAATAAAAATATTATGATAAAAATAAGAAAAAACTAGTTTTTAAATTAACTGCAAATATTTTTAGTTTTTTCTTATTTTTATCATATTTTTAATCCGATCTTGGTCTTCTAGGGCTTGAAATTTTTATAATTATATATACAATTGATTAGAAATAAAACTTGGGATATTGGAATTATTTGTTGTGGGAAAAAAATTACTCAAATGACGAAAATTGCTGTAAATCGTCAAAAATTGCATGAAGTTTGAAATTTTATAAGCTGTAACTCAGCCATTTTTCATCTGATCAAAACGAATTTGGTACCTTTGTACGCGTAATTTAGTCACCTTTCTAATAATATCTCGACTTATCTGAATTGGGCTTGCCGTTCAATCTGGGCTGCTGCGCGCTGGTTTAAGTAAAGTAATTCATCGAAAAACAAAAATACACCGTTACCTAGGTGAATGGCCCAAATGAGAAAAAAATGAGTATGTTTTTCGTGTTCAGCGCATCTGAATTACCCTAAAAAAATGAAGAAGAAAGTTTCTATCTTTAAAAAATTTAAATTTGTAAACCAGTGTTATTTAAGTGAAGAAAAAACCAATGGGATGCTCACAGGCAGAATTGAATACAATCCAGACTGCACAAGGGGGATCTAAAAGATTAAGTGACAGTAAATGGATTTTAAAAAATGAGGAAGATCCAAGCATTTGTCCAGTAAGACTATTTAAAGTTCTTCTGAAAAAAAGATCTAAATACATAACATCAGATCGTATGTTTCTTACTCCAAATCCATTTTGGAATAAACAAAATTCTAAAGGTTGGTACAAAAACATGCCTTTGGGTAAAAACATAATCTCAAAATGGACGCAAATCTCAGCAACTGCAATTGGACTCGACACAAAAAAGATCAAAATAACAAACCATTCAAACTGAGCCAGTACTGTATCCGAATTAGCTAAAGCGGGAGTAAGCGACCAACAACTCATTAAATTAACTGGCCATTCTAATAGAAATTCTTTAAAACCATATTTACAAATAGATGCAACACATCATAAAGAAATAGTTTCAAATTTACGAAATGATATGAAAATTGCCTGTCAGTCAAACAATGAAAACAACATTCAAAATGCAAGCATTACAGATTTTATTGAAGAAAATAATACACTTGAGCTATCTTCTACCTCTACATCCAGAATTATTTATAATAATTGTTCATTTACTAATTGTTCATTTAAATAAATTTAAAAAAGAGACTTAATCATCAATTAATCACAAAATTATCTCGTCGAATTACACTCGAGCTTTTTTTTCTGTCAGGATAAATTTATGTTTTCTAACTTTCAAACTTATTACCTTTTAGCAATTTGACTCGAAAAAATGTCATCTGACAAAATTGATTGATTGATTGATGACATTTTTTCTTGTCAAATTGCTAGGTAACAAGCTTTTAAGGAAAACAAAAATTTATCCGGCTAAAAATAGGCTCTTGTGTAATTATAGTCGATAATTGTCTACTAGGAATCGATAATTCCATTGTATCTACGTATCCATGGCAATTAATAAAAATAATGTCACTTTTTATTTTAATGTGACAGTTATTTAAAATGTCACGTTTTGGTAAAGAATCATTTGAATCAATTAATGAAAATGTGAAAAATATTGTACCAAAAAATACTGCAAACAAAAAAAAAACATTTGAAAATGTTATTCTTTGATTTAATTAGTTTATTCGTGTAATTATTTAAACAAATTACACTCGTGCATAAAAATAATCAGATAATTTTCGATTCAAGCATATTTCCTTTTAAAAAATACATTCGTTTTATTTTTAAACGATACATAAAACGTACTGACAATACTTATTATAATAACAATTATTAAAAGTATAAAGTGAGGTTAGATATCTTCATAGCCCTCAGCAGTTATTGATTGTAGACCTATTATTTTTGCAGCCAAGGAAATAATCAAATGGGTACTTGGTTGATGAGCGTTGACAAAAATAAAACTTAAATTATAGAACGCTCGAAGGTAAAAACTGTTTTATTGCATTTGGTATTTTATAAGGGTATAAACTTTTTGCAGGAGGATAAAA